TATCCCTGGCAGACCCAACTGGCTGAATAAAGAGTGTGTTTCTTATAACTCACTGATTTCTGGTGGTTCATGTGTCTATCGGGGGCTGGCGGCTACAACAGCACTATATGCTTTCCAAATTGACAAAGTTTAAATCCCAGCAGCCAATGACGAGCAGGAACACATCTGCACTAAAAATTAAGTTAAGTTTCTTTATCTTGCTTCAGTAACTAAAAATACACTTTGGAGAAATTATGGAACATTTCATTAGTAGAGTTGGGAGGGACTTCTCATAGAATTTATTCTTAAGCTAGATGATTTTGATGAAGCAGGAGCTAGTGCTTGATTAGACGTTATCAGGAACTGGGGTAACTCAAAGGAAGGGTACCTTCATAATTTTTATTTAGGAAATGAGAGAATTAAAACAGGAGTAGATTAGAGGTATCATTGGTAGGGCAGCCTTACTCATTTGCACTAACGGTTAATCTTTTTTTTATAGCTTTGTAGTGGCCTTGTCTCTGGTCACAGAGTGTCCTTAACATGGACAATGTTTGTATTCTGTGAGTGTTAATTAATGTTCATTTGGTACCAACATAGCCTGGCTGCCAACGGGGCTGGTTTTTTTTTGTTTTTGGTTTTGTTTTTCTACAAGTAGAAAACTGTTTACTAGTTTTTTAAGTCAAGAATTTTAGATCTGATAGGGGAAGAAAGCTGTAAAGTATTACTATGAGTATAAAACAAAACCAGAGGCCTGCAAGTGGAAGGTACCTTCTAAAGGCAAACATATTAGAATAACTGAGAATGATAGTATAGTATAAAAATTTTAAATAATTTAGGTGCAGAAAAAGCGTTCAACAAAATCTAGCATCATTTATGATAAAAACTCTCAGCAAAGTGGGAATAGAGGGAACATACCTTAACATGATAAGAGCCGTTTATGAGAAACCTGCAACTAACATCATACTCAAGGAGGAAAGGCTAAAAGCGTTTTCCTTAAAATCAGGCACAGGACAAGGATGCCCACTTTCATCACTGCGATTCAACATAGTATTGGAAGTCCGCTGCAGCAATCAGGCAAGAAAAAGAAATAAAACATCCAAATTAGAAAGGAAGAAGTAAAATTATCATTATTTGTAGATGATATGATACTGTATATAGAGACCCTTAAAGGTTCCACCAAAAAAAACTGTTAGAATTGATTAATGAATTCAGTAAAGTAGCAGGATACAAAATTAATATTCAGAAGTCAGTTACACTTTTACATGTCAATGATAAACTATCAGAAAGAGAAATTAAGAAAACAATTCCATTTACAATTGCATCAAAAACAATAAAATACCTAGGAATCAAATTAACCTAGGAGATAAAAGACCTGTTCTCAGAAAATTATAAGTCATTAAAAAAAGAAATGGAAGAAGATACAAATAAATAAATACTGTGCTCATGGATAGGAAGAATTCCTATACTGCAAAGCTACAGTAATCAAGACAGCACGGTACTGGCATAAAAACAGACACATTGATCAATGGAACAGAATAGAGAGCCCAGAAATAAATCTATGCATACATTAGTCATTTAATCTATGATGAAGAAAGCAAGACTATACAATGGGGTAAAGACAGTCTCTTCAACAAATGGTATTGGAAAAACTAGATAGATACATGCAAAAAAATGAATGAGACTGGACCACCTTCTCACACCATATACAAGGATAAACAAACAACAACAAAAAAAAGACTTAAATGTAAGACCCAAAACCATAAAACTTATAGAAGAAAACACAGGCAGTCAACTATTAGTAATTTTTTTTTCTGATATATCTCCTCGGGCAAGAGAAACAAAAGAAAAAATAAACAAATGGGACTACATTGAACTAAAAAGTTTTTGCACAGCAAAGGAAACCATCAACAAAACAAAAAGATAACCTACCAAATGGGAGAAGATATTTGCCAATGATACATGTGAAAAGTGGTTAATATCCAAAATTTATAAAGAACTCATACAACTCAACAACAAAAAAACCAAACAACCTAATTAAAAAATGAGCAGATGACCTAAATAGGTATTTCTCCAAAGAGGATATTCAGATGGCCAATAGACATATGAAAAGATGCTCTATGTCACTAATTGTCAGAGAAATGCAAAACTACTATGAGCTATCATCTCACACCTGTCAGATTAGCTATCATCAATAAATCAAAAAAACACAACAAATGTTGGTGAAGATATGGAGAAAAAGGAACCCTCATACATTGTTGGTGGGATTGCAAATTGTTACAGCCAATATAAAAAACAGTTTGGATTTTCTTCAAAAAATTAAAAATATAATTACCTTTTGAACCAGCAATTGCACTTCTGGGAATTTATCCAAAGAAAACCAATACACTAGTTTGTAAAGATCTATGCATCCCTATGTTCATAGCAGCGCTATTCACAGTAGCCAAGATATGGAAGAAAGCTAATTGTCCATCTATAGATGATTGAATAAAGAAGCTATGGTACATATATACAATGGAACATTACTGAGCTATAAAAAAATGAAATCTTACCATTTGCAATGACATGGATAAATCTGGAAGGTATTATGCTGAGTGAAATAGACAGACAGAGAAAGATAAATACCAAATGATTTCACTTATACTCAGAATCTAAGGAACAACAGAAACGAACAAACTAAATGAAAACAGACTCACGAATACAGAGAACAAATTGGTAATTGCTAGAGGGGAGGTGGGTTGGGGAACTGGGTAAAAAGGCGAATGGATGAAGTACAAATTAGTAGTTACAAAACAGTCACGGGGTTGTAGAATACAGCATAGGGTCTGCAGTCAGCATTATTGTAAAGGCTGTGTGGCCAGATGGGTGCTAGAGTAATCGAGAGATCATTTCATAAATTATATAAATATCTAGTCATTGTGCTGTATATCTGAAACTAATATAAAATAAAATAAAAAATTAACTTCTGAATCAAATAGGCAAAATAAGAAAGTCTGGTCCTTGGGTGACTGGGCTATCAATGACAGGCTTCTTTTGACTCTACCAGGGCACTGTATTTGCCATCACTTTTTAGGCCCCAGGGATATAAAATGTTTTACTACCCCTCACTGGCCTTCATATTTGCAACTATAATAGGCAATTCAGATGGGAAGCAAACAGGTTCACTTTAGTACTCTTTATCAGCCTTTTAGGTACTTAGAGATATTAAAACGCAGCAGACACTACTATCCTGGAGGCAAACTGTCTCCTTTTCTGGTTTATATTTTCAATTTTAGATTTTATCTCTTTGAAGTTTAATTTATTTAGCATTTTCTCTTAATTTTTTTTTTATATATTTATACACAACTTCTTGACACCTAGAAACTCAGGTGCTATAAAATGGGTGAGTCTGTCTCATTTTGCAGCAAATATGTTTTCCCCATTTCTAAATACTGAAATATTGAAAGCAATAAATCTTGTGGTTTACATTAGACTTCCCTCAGAATACAGACATTGTCATTGGAATTTCCCAATATTCCTCCAAGGAAAGAAAATGCAGCGTTCTTATTGCCACTTGAAAGCAGCAAAAAGGCGTAGTTTATCCGTGCAGATTTTTGGTGATGTTTCTCATAATGTTGTCCATGGGTCACGAGCATCAGAATTACTAAAGGTCTTGCTAAAAAATACATATTCTAAGCCCTATCCCAAACCTATAAGAATAATCTGAAAGTGGGATAGGGCATCAATCTGCAGGCGATTTTCATGTATATTAAAGTTAATTTATTATTTCCTACTTTTGGACAGAGGATTTGATGTATGTTATTATATACAATGAAAACTCAAAAGGGTATGCAATTTGGCTTGTTCTCTCAAAAGTCCCCATCACCCAGATTAGTGGCTGACATTGAGCACACACTCAGTAATTACTGGTTAAGTAAATGAACAGAAAAGAAGAGGAAGTAGGTTTAAAATAGGAAGGTAATTTAAAATAGGAGCAAGCATTGTAAAATGTTAGAATCCTGGCTCCTCTGTTTATCTGTGCTTGACCTTGAGCAAATACTTAACTTCCCTGTTCTTCAAAGTTCTCAAGGAGACTATAGTAATAGTACTATTTCCTTAGTTTGTGGTAAAGAATTAGTGAGTTTAAATATGTAGAGTGCTTAGAACAATTCTTGTCTAAAACATTCAAAAACTAGTGAGTTTGACTTAGCAGTAACCAGCCCAAATCAGACATCAAATCAGGCAGATCTGACCCAGGTTTTCTCACACCTCCTACAACACCTTTTTTTGTTGTTATTAGTTGGCTGACATCAGAAAGTCCTCTCTTTCCAAAATATCTTTTCACCATACCACCTAGCCTGTCATACATGAGCAGGAATTTCTACCATTGCAGTCATTTTTCTAAAAGACAGGAAAACAGTGAGCATTTCCTAATAAAACAAGCACCTGTTACCAAAGATGGACTGGAAATCACAAACTAAGCTCCCGTTTTTCTTTTAGTTAGCTTTCCCCATTAACCTCCAGCCCAGATGAGTGTGGCAGAGGGCCTGGCAATGAGTAGATGCCAAAAGCCTACACAGGATATTTTAACCTCTGACATTAAAGAGGGGGAATGGGGGAAGTGAAGGGGAAATTTTTTAAAACGATATGAACACATAATTTTAATCCTGAACTAGTTCATTTAACGTTTTGTTTTTGTTTTGTTTCTGTTTGATCAAAGGCACGGAGCCCTTTCCTGGGATCGGCATTGATTATAAGCAAAATGGAGACAGGTGTGACCACTGTGGTACCGATCCTGGCATTCCAAAGGAAGAGCAACAGACAAACCAAAAGCTTTTCCTCAAAGGTTTCAACTTTCCCAGACTGATTCTTTGATCTATACAATCTATAATCTCGGTAGCACGGTGGGGGCAGAGTCCGAGTGGACATAAACCCTTTTTCAGAAGAAATTGATTAAGTCAGATTTTTTTTTTTTAACTTCCTTGTTCCTTCAGTTCGTGAAGAGTCCGTGGGAAGACGTACTTTGCTGCGCGTTTCAAAGGTGAGCAGTACGAGGGTGTTTCGAGCCTCAACTCTGGAAAACAAGGAGGGTGGAAACAGGGATAGAGTTGAGAAGTAAGCAGGGATAGAACTAGAAATACGACAAAGGCAGCATGGTTAGAGTCCAGGGTAAGGACAGGAAGAGCAACCAGGAGATGTCGGGCTTTTTGTCTTGAAATAGCTAGAAAAACCTCAAGGTAGAGGCCGAAGGGGGTTGGGGGGACAGAGATCAACCGCAAATTCAGAATGCCTCTCAGGTTCTGGGGGCGGGGCGTAGGGAGAGGGGTGTGCCGTGACCACACCCAGAGCTGCCAGTCCCGCGCTTTCGAAAGCTCAGCTGGAGTTTACTGCGTGAACCTGTGAAAGGACCGACGAATGAATGACCCTCCTACCAGGATGGGGGTCCTGGATCCCCACGGACCTACGGATCCCGCGGACTTCCCCGGCAGCCTGGGGCGCACAGGGTCCGTTCTGCGAGTTCTGGGGCGCGGGACTCCCCTGGCCGCGGACGTCCGGAATCCCAGGGCGGCGGGGGCGAGCGGAAGCCGGCGCGGTGACCACGAGAACCGCCGGGCCGGGGAGAATCCGGGCTCTTTGTCCTGGGTCAGAGAGAAAGTGCTCTTTCTTCTTCATCCAGAGCGGGGGCTGGGGACTCAAGGGGATCCTGCCCGGGAAGAGGCGGCCGGTGAGGAGGACCTTCCCCAGGCTGATGAAAACGACCGGGAACCCGACTGCCCTTCTCTTATCTTCCCACGAGAAAAGCCAATCACTGGCAGCCGTGTAGACTCTCGCTCTGGACCTCCGCCGCGGGACCCCGCAGCCTCACCCAAATCCGTGCTCGTGCGGGTCGTGGATTATCAGGTGACACAAGAAGTCCTGTGGACCGCGTGGACGAAGGGCTGCATGACCACACGGACAGAGGAGCGTTCCATGACCGCGGTCACTTTTCTCACCAACAAGGAGTAAAGCAGGTTGTGGGGGCGCAGGGACCCCTGGAGAATCCCGCGCTCTCTTGGCACGGAGAAAGGCACCCCGCGTCTACGCGGAGAGACGATCTTTTCAGGTTCTGGAGGATCTTGATTCCCCCAGGAGATTAAACAGGAAGGAGGAGCCCGAGGTAAATTCGGGGCTGGTGGATGAGCAATAATCCTCAAGGAAAGAAAATGTTCTTCCGGGAACCCCAACCTGCAACTAACCGACAGCAAGGACCTTTTTAAGAGGATGGCGCAGCGCTTCGGGATGGCAGATGATGGCACACAATACAGATTGAAGAATTGTAAGCAACATAATACCTCTATCATGACTTAAATACAGTGAAGGTCTGGGGACTTAAGTCATACAGAAGAGGGGAAGAAAAGTTATTTTGAATTTAGAAAAACGGGAGTTTTGAAATAAGAAAATCTGTTGTTATTTCTCATTTTGCAATACCTCTCGTGATCATTTGATCATTTTTTTGCCTCCCCACTTTCTCTTTAAGACCTAAAAGCAGAAACGAAGTTTGAGGGCTGCTCTGTAAAGGGGGTGGGAGTAGATGGCGAGAGATTTGTCTTAAATTTGAAAAAGCAAGTAAAAAGAATCGGGAAAGTGAAAGCAACAAGTAAACGATTTTTTCTTTTCTTTATACTCTCTTCTGATGTGCACATTTTTCTGTCCCCCCTTCAACATTTAAGTGTTAGGAAGAAAAGAGGATCAAGGAAAAGAAGGTGGGGGAGGGGGACAGAAAACAGCTTTAAAGGCAAAATCTCTTTAAAAGGGCTTTACCCCAAAGTGTCTAATTTAGTCTAGTAAAAATGATTTTAATATGAATTTTTAAATTATTTTAATTTTTAAAATACTGCAGATAAATCTGCTGATCTAAAGGTGGATAGAAATGTATAGTTTGCCATAAAAGGACTATATATCTTATTCTTGTCCATAGCTCTTTATTAATAAGATTTGGAGTCAGGACTGAATTAAAAATGCAACTTTCTTGATGCCGTTGAAAAGAAATTTCTCCTGGTGCTATGGAAACAACTCATTTTTAGTTTAATTATTCCTCTTTTTAAATAAACACTGACTTTATTAACCTTTTGGTAGCGTGGCCTGGTTTGGAAATCTGTGAGAAGCAGAGCACTCCCTCCAGAGATAAACTGCTTGACTTCAGTGCTGCTAAAGGGGTGGTATTCAGTCACTGCAAGAAGTAAGGGACCAGTGGGACTTTGGCTTTCGAAGAGTAAATTGTTGAACAGTGTGCCCACTCCTCCCTCTATGCCCCTTGTTCTCAGTTTAGAGCTTGAAATGCCCTCAAAATTATCATCTGATCCACTTCTTGTCTCCTAGCAGACTAGATAGGTAAGATATATCCCTGTTTTACTGATGAGCCAGCCTAGGCCTAGAGGTCATGTGGATTGTGTAAGTCACACAATGAGTAATGGCATGTGCTTACTAAATAGACAAGAATATGGTCACCTCTTTCCTAAAGACTGAGAATTGCCTTTGGAGGGACTTCTAGAGAGTCAAAGTTGACTGAGGGCATCCTAGGTTTTCTGACGCATGTTTGTAAGAAGTACTAGAATCACCTTGATGTCCCTGAGTCCTGCAAGGCCTGTTGGCTGGAGAGTTACCACTAACAGTTCTCAGGCCCATGAGACCCTCACTTGGGAGAGGAATTTAGGACCTGAGCTTATCTGTGTTCAAAACTATTTGGTAGGTAGAAAAGGTAATATAGGCCCCAAAAAGTGAATTATCTTTTTTCTTCCAACAACCCTGCCTGACTCCTGTGTAAGGTTAAACTTCTTGGCAGACACATTTCAGATGTGACTTAATAAATTTGGTTGAGAGTCACATGCCTCATGGAATTGAGCATTGAATATAGTCAACACGAAAAGCCTCTTTAACATTGACCAAAAATGATAGCATCATTTGGAGGCAACTCTCGAATTTAGCTTCTTGGGTTCAAAACTGCTCTACCTCTTACTTACTGTGTCTTTGGGCAAATTCTTGATCTCTGTGTGTCTCTGTGCCCTTATTTGTTAAATAGGAATAATAAATATTGTCGACTTCATTGGGTTTTTTTTCCAGGATTAAGTTAAATGAAAAATACTTAGAACAATGCTTGGCATTAAATAAATGCTCAAAATTAACAGTTATAATTATTATAAGTGTTATTATTGTTTAATTCACTTTCATCCTAACCAAGCTTTAGTCTTTTATTTAATAAAAAGTAGCTGAACACATACAACATAAGAAATCCTATAGAACTCAAACCAGTGGTTTTTACTGACTCTTTTCTGCATTGCTGAAAGATTTATTTCTAGCTTTTCCCAACACTTAATGGATCAGTAAATACATTTTTAAAATTCCTTACAAGTGACCACCACATCATGTGCTAAAGATTCATCCTAAGGCTCCAAGGCCTAATGTGTACCATGCTTGAATCTTTGAAGGGGTTTCACACACTATTTCCTGTTGTCAGGTGGGAGATTTGAATACTTTCTCTAGAACCTGTTGGGTTAGTTTGTTTTCCCTCTGGGATTTTAAATCTGATGCACTGTTGTCTCAGAAAAACAGAATGGGCATAATTCATTTTCATTTTATCTCATTTCTTTTAAAATGTATTTATTTCAAGTCAGCTTAACTTCTTTAATCCAAATAAGTTTGGGTTAATTTTATCTACTTTAAGTAAAAATTATTTTCAAAGCACTTAGCAAACTCCCAGTTAACTGCCTTCGACACGCTTATAGATTTCCTTTAGACAGATGTCTCCCTGTTAATGAAACATAGTAAGTTTGAGATACTGTTCAATTTGCTTCACAGATTTTCCTGATCCAGGCAGAACATTGTCATGTGAAGAGCTTGAGGAATCGTTTTGCATTCACAGTATCTTGGGAGTGAATCCGTAGTGAAACTTGGGCATCCACAATACTAAGATATCTCTGAGAATGGCTGGGTCTTGGCACTTTGGTCTCACCTCCACCTCACCAAAATATGTGATCATCTAAAATTGTCTTAGGTGAATGAATCACGACAAGGACTTCCAAAAGCCACCTGGCCACTCAAGTGACCATAAGGCAGATATCACAGTCACATATCTACCATGGATCAGGCAAGCAGCAAGCTCTCTGAAAATCTTTGTCCATAGCCTTTGTCACTTTTGAGATTCATTACATTTGACTTGCTGCTTTTGTTGATCATCACCAGCACTTGATCTGCTTTCTGCTGAAAGAGAGGAGAGAGAGAGAGAGAGAGAGAGAGAAAGAGAAAGAAAGAGAAAGAAAGAAAGAAAGAAAGGAAGGAAGGAAGGAAGGAAGGAAGGAAGGAAGGAAGGAAGGAAGGAAGGAAGGAAGGAAGGAAGGAAGGAAGGAAGGAAGGAAGGAAGGAAGGAAGGAAGGAAGGAAGGAAGGAAGGAAGGAAGGAAGGAAGAAGGAAAGGAAGAAAGAAAGAAAGGAAGAAAGAGAAAGAGAAGGAAGGGAAGGAAGGAAGAAAGAAAAAAAAAGCTTTCTATTAAAGGAAAAACATTCACTAAGAAAAATTTGAGGAAATATTTTTCTAGGGAAAGGAAAAATGGAATAAAAGAAAGCAAAACCCATAATTCCAAATCTCGTTTAAAATTTGGTATGTTTCTAGACTGGTTTTATTTCTTTTATTCTATTTTTATGTATATATCCCTACACTATAAATTGAGCATAAACTATATATAAAATCTGAATATTGTCTATATATAAACTAATGTACACTGATGCTGCTCAAGGTGTAGTCTGCAAACCAGCAGCATGGGCATCTCCAAGAAAGTTTTTAGAAATGCAGAATGTCAGATTTTACCCCAGATCTGCTGAATCAGAATTTGCGGCTTGACAAGATTCCTGGGTCATTCACATTAAAGTTTGAGAAACATTGACATATGCTGTATATAGTTCTTTTTCCTACTTGGACACTTGCAAAAACTAAAAAGTTTGTACTTTTTTGTATTCTTCATTAATTGTTGACAATGCCATGGAAATAATACTTTATAGAATTATGAAACCATTTAGAGATTATGAAAGAGTGAAATCGTTATTCTAAAGTTTTTTCTAATAAAACATTGATTGACTATTGGAGTTAAAACTAGTCATGTAGGCTTAAAGATGGAGGTACATATGTTCTGAGAAATGCGTTTATGTGTTTTAGGTTCTTTCATCTTGTGCGAACATCATAGAGTATGTACACATAAACCTAGACGTATAGCCTACTATACACTGAGGCTATATGGCATAGCTTATTCTATTATACAAAACTGTACAGCATGTTACTCTGATGAATAGGTGTAACGCAGTGGTATTTGTGTACCTAAATATAGAAAAGTAATGATACGGTACAAAAGATAAAAAATGGTATACTTGTAATGGTGCTTATCAGGAATGGAGTTTGCAGGACTGGAAGTTGCTTTGGGTGAGTCAGTCAGTGAGTGGTGAGTGAACGTGAAAGCCTAGGTCATTACCATATGCTACTACTGTAGACTTTGTAAAGACTACATGACTACACTTAGGCTGCACAAAATTTATAAAACACAAGATTTATTAAGAACAAGAGAAAATGATGCAATCAAGTGATGCGGTAAGCATGTAAAATGTATGGGGCTGCTGCTGGCATAACAGTGTACTGTCTTACAGCAAACTTTTTATAAAAAGTATAGCATAGTAAATACATAAACCAGTAACAGTTTATCGTTTACATGACTACACTTAGGCTGCACAAAATTTATAAAACACAAGATTTATTAAGAACAAGAGAAAATGATGCAATCAAGTGATGCGGTAAGCATGTAAAATGTATGGGGCTGCTGCTGGCATAACAGTGTACTGTCTTACAGCAAACTTTTTATAAAAAGTATAGCATAGTAAATACATAAACCAGTAACAGTTGTTTATTGTCGTTATGTACTGTACATAATTGTATATACTGTACTTGTATACAGCTGGCAGTGCCAAAGATTTGTTTACACCAGCATCACCGCAGACACATGAGTAATGCTTTGTAGTATGAGTATGACTTTAGGATAATTAGGAAGTCACTAGATGATAGGAATTTCTCTGCTCCATTGTAAACTTAGGGATCATCTGATAAGTGGTCCCTCTTGACCAAATATCTTTAGCGGCAAGTGACTGTATTTCAGAAATATGGTTCTCTTATTATCTAAGAATGTGAAACAATATTTAAAAACACCTTGAGGGAAGAAGGGCATGAAGTCATTAAAAGAAAGCACATTGCAACACTTCTGCAGGCTGAGTCAGGACTTGTCAGCCACTCATAATGAATCGCAAGGGGGTGGGCGAAAGGCGGAGCCTGAATTTGAATCAACCAATTCAGGTAAGAAAACAAACGCCGAATATCTGGACATCTTTATAACTGTAGTCCGCTTTTCTCTTTAGTTAGGAAGAGCAAAAATCCTAGTAACCTCTAGATGAAGAAAAACAGTCCAGTTTACTTTCCTTCCTGGGAAAGGAATTAAATCAATTCTTGGGGATTATACAGCCAATAGTTAACAAAACATAAGATTTGGTTATCTTCAAAGCAAGGAATTAACTTTAAATTCTAACTCAGATTTCTAAATATAAGACAGAATGTGTATTTCTAGGAGACTGCAGCTTTCACAAAAATAGGACAAACAGTTTATTCAGAGCTTGGTATAGATAGGGAATCAGTCAGCATCACTTGCACTTGGCAGGAAAGCAAAGGCAGGCAGGGCAGGGGAAAGCTTTATAGTAATTAAAATGACCTTCACTTTATCCTCAGCTTGACTAAACTTTGGACAGATTCCTACGTGATTGTAGGCTCTTGACCTCATTTTCTTACAGCATTTACTTGAGAAAACTTGTGAGGTAAATTCCTTCTCTGCCTTTTGAGATGTAAATATCCTAACTTCTTATAAGTTTTACAGCTAGGAATGTCTTAAGGTCCTGGGAGCCACCATCTCTTTGAAGTGTAATCAAGAAAGGCAGGACCCCTAACTGGTAGTCTGAGAGGATAGGAGCCCAATTTCATAAGCATCAGCAAACACAGATGGCTTAGTGGCATTGACTAACCTCCCCACTAATGTCGTCCAGTACTTTTCCACTAGCTCACCCCAAAGCTTAAAACCTCTCCCACCTTCTGTTTCAAAGAATTTGAGTTTAATCTCTCCCTTATTGCAATAGTCTTGAATAAGTCTTCCTTGCTTGTTTAACTTTGGTACAATTTTTCTTTGACAATAGCAAAAATTGAAGACTTCACATATGCTCTGTTGAGAAGCTAGAAGCAGGCTATTGGAGGGACTTCTTTTATAATTGGTCTACGGCTTTCTCTGGTGGGTCTTGAATTAGATGTGTGCAAACAAATAGGGAAGCTGGCAGTTATTGACCAAGTTCTGATCTTTCTGGGCTACTTGCATCAGAGGCTATGGTTTGGTTGTCTAGGCTAGTTCCTCCAGGGGTTGTAGGTCAGAGTTCTGTAACCTGATAAATAGTATCAACCTTATAGTGCTTGACATACAATAAAAATGTAAAATTAGCTATTATTATTGTTGTTGTTATTGTTTAGTTCATCTTTCATCCAAAGCCTTAATCTTTCATTAAAAAAAAGAGTAGAAGACATACAACACAAGAAATCATATCAAAACTAAACCAGTGGTTTATACTAAGACTCTTGTGTCTTTTTTTCATATGTTATTATATATGTGGTTTGGACATTTATATATTCAGTCACTCATTAATTTTAGGACTATCTTGAAGACAGAGTTAGAAACTAGAAGAACCAGTTACAGAATTTATTCTCTCTTCTGCCCCTCTCCCTCTCTTCCTCTCTCCACCCTCTACACACACACATACACACAATCAGCTATATACATTTATTTTGAGAGTCAATTCCTTAGGGTTCAGAATCCTTTAAACTCAGTTGGAGTATACTTTGTGTCTTTAATCCCTGTATATTCTTTCATTTTGAGAATAGGTACAATATAAACAGTAACATAGCCATTGTAGTGATTAAGAAAAAGAACTTGAGTTACTTCAATTCTGACTCTATATGTGACATTTTATATGTAAAA